GGCCACAAGCCAAGGAATGCAGATGGTCTACAGAAGATAGAAAAGACAAGAAATAGATTCTCCCTAGAGCCGCCAGAAGAAATGCAACCCCGATGACACCTTGATTTTAGCCATATAAGACCCAATTTTGGACTTCTGATCTCTAGAATTGTAAGAGAATAAATTTGTATTATTTAAACCACTAGATTTATGGTTATTTGTTACAGCAGTAATAGGAAACTAATACAAAAACTAATTAGCCCCAGATAAGAGGCTTCTAGGAAGTAACCTTTGGGAATCTGCTAGGAGGAAAAGTTGGTTGGCACCAGCATTCACTGAAACTGCTCTGTCTAGTTTTACTCATTCGTACATGCCCTAAGGAATGTAAGACTGGAACAAGAGGCCATATGAGGCCAGCTCAAGGAGTAAATCTGAGAGGCTTTGTCACAAGACTTGTCTGCCAGCCTCTCCTATGGGGTGGGCAATGTCTCAGGAGGTTTCTCAGACCTTTTGTGTAAAAAACCCTGAGGAGGACACATTCCTCCAGTTCTAGACATTCCTGAACCCCTAAAGTGGAGTCAGGTCAGAATCAGGGTGTCACCTCCTCACCACCTATACCTATGATATCCTCACAATCACCTTTGAGATAGGTAGTACTGCCCCCAATTTGGAAATGAAGAATTGCCATACAAAGTACCACACACTGGAGGGCTTAAACAACAGAAATTTATTGCCTCATAGTTCCAGAGGCTAGAAGTCTAAGACCAAGGTGTTGATGGGGTTGGTTCTCTCTGTGGGCTCTTTCCTTGGCTTGTTGATGGCCAACTTCTTCATGTGTCTCTTCACATCATCTTCCCTCTATGCCTGTGTGTGTCCAAATTTCCTCTTCTTATAAGAACATTAGTTATATTAGATTTGGGCCCACCCCTATTTTAACTATATTACCTCTGTGAAGATCCTACCTCCAAATAAGATCACATTCTGAGGTACTGGGGTCTAGGACTCCAACATATGTTTTTTGGAGGACACAAGTCAACCTATAACAGGAACAAAGGATCAGAGATATTAACTGACTTGCCCAAACTCACAGTGAATTAGTAGTTCAGCAAAGATTTAAACCCCAGTCTGTGTTGCCTTCCATATGCAGCCACCAGACATAGCTGGAAAAAAATTGTGGCTTATGTATTTCACCTTCCAAGCTGGGTTTCTTAATCCCTTGTGGCTTCTGGAAAATGTTTTCCATAGCTTTGGGAAAAAAGAAAGGTTTTTCTATTATCCACCCACCTGTCTCCACCTCGCCCCTCATCATACACACCAGACAGGTGCTTCTTGAAGCCTTTTCTCAGTGAAAGCTACAAAACCACAGTACAAATCAATATTTGAGTAGCACTTATCAAAAGCTTTTCCAGGTGTTGGCTTATCCTGTCCTGGACGGTGGAAAGGGAACTGCAATACTGTTCTGCTCATTCTTTTAGAGACCGACTATAGCTGGGAGAGAAAAAGTGATTGGGGAAGGTTACACAATTCAGAAAGTGGTCAACTGGGACCCAGCTAAGGTCTCCTCACCCAGACCCCAGGAGAGCCTTCTGCAGCCTCCTCCCATCCTAGCTGTCCACCTTGCCTGGGGAGCAAGCATTCCTG